CTTTCCCTGTCCTGTTCTATGTTGTCCTCTCTGGGTAACAAACACACCCTCATAGAACTTAGGTTTATAGGACCAAATTATAAAACATCATATCATGAGCGTTACAATAGGTTTATAGGATGTTTTTAGGCGTTTTAACAAGTTGTTTAGAACGCTTTAAAACAAAGTGTCCTATTAGCTATTATAGGATACTTTTGAGAAGTGTCTTATTAGCTATTTTGTATGATACCTTTGAGAAACGTCCTATAAACCCATCTTTTTATAAGACACTTGTGTGTATAGGACCACTTTTCAAATAGTGTCATATAAAATAGTTAATACGACATTTTATTTTAAGAGTGTCCTAAAAAAACTTGCTACAACGCCCAAAAAACATTCTATAAACTTACTGCAACACTTTTAGATAAGACGCTTTTTGGTTTGATCCTAAAAACTCAAGTCCTATACATATTTTTTAGGTCTTACAAATCAATTTTGTTGTAGTGGTTACTGGTCTATATACTCATTAGCAAATTTCTACTTGATGGAGTCTAATATGGTTTCCGCATCTTGGTCCAGTTGCGGTTTTGATAGCTTGCATACGCTGAGTGCAAATGGACGTTTTCTCGTCTCGCCGTCTCTCAGAAAATTAGGTCTCATTCATTTGTTACATATTATTGTCCAACTCTTTTTTTCTCCATCATTGTGTAGTAGTTGAATGTGATTTTTATTATTCATGTGTGTTATTTGTAGTTTGGATGGAGTTAAGTTATATCTAAAGTGTAAATTTTTATAGTGATGGCTTGTGTTTTAATACAACATTGTGTCTATGCATTTTGTTACTTGCAAAGTTAGAATTTAGAAACTAGAAGGGTGTGTCCGATTGGTTTGAGTTTGGACTCTAAAGGTCAAAAGTGTCTGGAGGTCACAGGTTCGAATCCAAAGAAGGAATAAAAATCCCCTTGTGGTCATGGAGGTTCAAATTCGGTTCGCGGGTGGTCGCCTTGGGATTATTTGGCTCGCACTGCGGATTGAATATCCGGGTTAATAAAAAAAAGTTGAATTTAGAGAACTCATAATATGTTATAGAAATATAATACATCACAGAAATTTCATCTATTATATACATTACAAAACAAAGACATTTCACCGACGAAAAAATCCGTCTGTAATCTGCCGGAAAAAGCTATCACCGACGGATCTCATTGCCGGAGAAAGTGTGGCAGGTGATCGTGATTACCGGCGTATTTTCAGTCATTGACGGAAGAATCTGCCAATGATGGTTAATTTGTTGATGATCCGTTACAAGCCCGTTGGAAAAGACCGTCGGCGAAACCTCTTTGTTTTGTAGTAACAGGAGGTAAACAAGTCAGATAACACTTTGTGTCCCTGCAGTTTTTAAGTTACAAGATAGCCATCGCGGTTTTTGTTACAACATCCGAATTTGGTCCCTCTCTCTAACCGCCATTAAAAAATTGCGTTGAGTGAGAAACATTTTTGTCATTGTATCGATTTTTTTTGTCTTTTACCCAAACAAAAACCACAGGGACCAAAATCATAAAATCAATTTTGGTTAGATAAAAAAAATCAATAAGTGGATGACAATGCATCTTATTTAATGGAATTTCTAACGACCGTTAACAAAGGGACCAACTGTGGATGTTTTTACAAACCAGAATGACCATCTTGTATTTTCAAAACTGTAGAGACAAAAAATGCTTAATAAACCATAGCAACTAAATTTATAGTTTACTCTGATAACGACTTTTCATAATCAGCCAGACGACATTAAGGAGCTATTTACCAAATTTTTTATTAAGACATGTATGAATAAATTTGTCTGTCTGGATAAATGGGTGTTGTTGTTTACATTTTTTATTTGAACCAACAGTCTGAATAACATAAATGACCGATTTACCCCCAATATTAATTATTTGAACATCAAAACAAAAAATCATAAAGAGGCCGAAGATGAGGTGTCTCATATGGGAATGATGTGGTGCTTTAAATAAGGGATATATGTGTCATTTTTGTGGCAAAATGGGGACAACACACCATTTCTATCTGTGCGATTAAACCATGTTCTGTGCGAATAAGCCGTAAGTAAACAACCCAAATGAGCTGTACGAATAAGCCAGATAGACCAATAAGCCTAATTAAGCCACAAGTAAGACGATGTGCATTTCTATTTAGATTCTTATTCGTATTCCTTAAAAATGTTTGCCTTATTGAGTTGCTACCTAAGCAACGATTACATGTTATTTGTCGTATGTTATAAATTTTATTCCTTTTGTATTTATCAAAAAATTTATAGCTGTTAATGCTTCGTTATATTTTCTGATAATTGTTAGAACATCTTTAACAGATTCTTTAAAATAGAGATTTTGAATTTTTTTGCTCAAATGGGTTAACCCAAAAATGTCTCTAAAAATGTTTTTTTGCATTGGTGTTCTTGAAGATGAGTTTCGTATGAAGATGGTTGAGGTCACTGTAATCAACTTTTGTCCAAATATAAAAAATAATATATTAAATTATTATTTGTGTATAAGTTATATTAGTTAAGCATGAAAATGGGGCGGGGACCTCAATCTCTGTCCCCGTCCCCATCGGAGAATATATTACATTCTCATCTCCATCCCCAACAGGGAAATAATGATTTTTTTTTCCCGTTTATGTAAGTTATTTTAATAAATCTCAAACATTTTTAATAAACCTAAAACCAAAATGAATATAATGTAATAAAAAAAAAACCATAGCATCATATAAGAATTTATAACCTAAAACCAAAAAAAATTCAATTTAATTCAAAAAAACTTAAAGTCACGTGTATCAAAAGATGTTGAGTATATATAAAACCTTATCGAGTAATTGTATTTTGAATTGACATCCAAAATATTACATATTAACATAAAAAAAATAACAATTTTACATTATAAACCTAGTTAGAAATAACAAATTATGAATTACCACTATAGTATACATACACACGCACACGCACACATACATATATATATATATATATAATTTATTAATTAATATATAACAGATTCGGGATGGGTCAAAGCAGGGAGTACGATATCCATCCCCGTTTAAAACAAACGAGGATTCCCGTCTCCGTCCCCGATTTAACAGGGAATCCCTTTCTCCAACCGAGACAGATGAACCAGGTTGTCCAACGAATGGAGCCTCATTCCCATATCCATAATATATCCATGGAGACAAAAGCCAGATATTCTCAAATAATAAATAAATAAATTATATTGATGCTGTGAATGTGTGATTTTTCTTTAAAAGCAGTTGGAAAATTATCACGTGGTTAATGTATTTGAATCAATTCCTTTTCAAAATTGAATTATTAAATATTTAATACAAAGTTCTTCCTTCAACACATTAATATGTTAAATCCTAGGAAAAAGGTGGTTTATTTTAATTTAAAACGTTTTTTGTTCATGCTTTATTAATATAAATATTTTTGTCAACCATAATAAATATTGTCTGTTTTATCTAAATATTTAAAAGTTGTTACGAAAGGAAAATGAAATAAGAGTAAAAATGTAATCTGGTTAACAAAAAAAATGTAATAATAACCCCAAGCTCATAAGGGAAGTGTTTGATTGGTTTGAGCTCGACTCCAAAGATTAAAAGTGTCTAGAGGTTTTAGGTTTAAATTCAAGGAGGAACAAAAATCTTCTTGTGATTACAGAGGTTCAAATTTGGTAACTTCGGACTACCCACAAAGCAGGTGATAGCCCTGAGATTATTTGGCTCGCATAACAGGTTGGATATCCAGATTAATAAAAAAAGTGTGATAATTATATTTGTCTATGGATGTGTGTCATTTCCATTGTGGACACTTAGGCCTTGTTTGGTTTTTCATTTTCAGCTCTTAATTACTACTTATGTTTGATTCATTCAGACGTTTTGTAATTTAGACTGTTTTTTTTTCAAAGTCTCTTATCACTTTAATAAGGTCTAAATAAATAAGAGGTAAACTAATATATTAATTTCTCTTATTTTCTATTTTCTTTGATTCTCTTCGGTTATTGCTTCTTTCTCCACTAGGGACGCCATTATACTTTCATCACCCATGTGAAATTACTCCCCTACATTCTCTTTCTCTAGATATATATATATATATATATATCTCTCTCTCTCTCTATATATATATATATAATTTATATATGTATAAGTTAGCTTAGAAGATTAATGTGAAACAATAACTTATATCGACGATCTATCATCTATTAAAAGTATCGATCTTTTCACAAACAAACTCACCGACAACATTTCTGACGGAAGTCTGAAAGATATCCAAAAAGTTCTTACTGTGTTCCATCTGTTAAGCATAGGGATGGTGATTTGCCCCGACATGGTGGGGAACCCGGTTCACCTGACCTGAACGGGGACGGGGATTCCCGCTAAAACGGGTCCCGGGGCCGGGAATCCCCGGTAGAATCAAAATAAAGGATACTATTTACGGGGTTTGACTGGAGATTGTTAGAGATTTGACCGGGGACCGGGGCCGAGGACTACAAAACCCGTCCCATTCCCGCCCCGTTGCCATGCCTAGTTAAACAATTGTTGAGATGAATTTTGACAACAAAAATTTTATGAAAATCAAGAGAATTTTGCACCTAATTTTGCAAAAACAAACTATTGATTCATATTTCATACTTTAGACGTTTGTCAGTTTATAAAAACAAACAGTCTTAATGATCTATATTTCAAATTTCAACAACAACTTTTATTAATCAAAAGTAAAATAAGACTTCAGATTTCAATACATTTTAAAAAACAAACCCAATGTATCATAACACAGATGGAGTAATTTAATAAAATATAGAAAAAATATAAAAAGATAAATTGATTTTACCGGTTCTATTCTGTTCGGTGTTTTATGTTATAAAACACTGAACAACCCTTATATTCTGTTATCCAAAAACAGGAAAAAAGAAACAAGGGATAAACGTGGACTGAAAATATAAAAAGTCCTGCTATCTGTGGTTTTATTTTATCCATGGGGTTCCTCACGTTAAATTGAAGTCCTTTGAGATCTGAAGACCACGCCAAACCGCCATTGATTCATTCACATGCTCCACGATAATTCGTACCACATAACTCTTTGCTTTCTTTCCTTCTTTTCATATTTCCCCATCACTACTTGGATTGGATCTTCCTTGTTCTTCTTCAGGTATTTCTAATTTCTTTCAAACCCCTACTTTTTCGTATCAAAATCACTTAATTTTTTCTAAGATCTAGGGCTATTTCGATGGTTTCTAGCGAACTTCATGAATTCATATAAATTTCTTGAAGAAACTCATCTGTTCAGGTTCAGAATTTGTTTAATTTTCTGTAGTCTAAGTTGCCCTAACTGTAACGATTCTGTTTGCTCTGTTTTTTGTCGATTAGAACTCTTTAAGGGGGTTTTCGGATTTTTTGTACGATTTAGAACCAAAAAAACCGATTCCCCCAAATTATTGATTTGTTGATGTAATTTAGCGATGCAAACTTATGAATCTTTTCTGTTTTTGTAGTCAAAATCGTTGGCGAGTTCGTAATTTACAGAAATGGGAGAAAAGCTTGGATTTGAGGAAGAAGATAAGGCGATATTAGAGAGTGTTTTAGGCCGTGAAGCTTTTGATTTCTTCATTTGGTCAGCTTCGAATAAGATTCCTGATGAATTTAGATCAAAGACAGCTGATTTAGGGGTTCAAGAGGGTCTTCGTAAGATTCTTGATAAATCTGATTGGAATTACGCCATTTTCTGGCAAGTTTCGAATTCGAAATCAGGAAAATCCGCTTTGATTTGGGGCGATGGTTATTGTGGAGAATCGAAAGAAGGCGAAATCGGGCATAAGAAACGGGATGAATTCAGTAGAAAAAAGAGGGTTCTTCAGAAACTTCATTTGTGTTTTAAGGGATCGGAGGAAAATCTTGCAGCCAAAATGGATTCAGTGTCGGATTTAGAGATGTATTATCTAACCTCGATGTATTATCTGTTTCCATTCGATAAACCTTCGAGCCCGTCTCAATCGTTTAACACGAGTAGATCGGTTTGGGTTTCCGATAGCAGAAGCTGTGAAGAACATTATCAATCGAGAGCCTTTTTAGCGAAATTGGCTCGATTTCAGACGCTGGTTTTGGTTCCGGTTAAAAGGGGAGTTTTGGAGCTTGGTTCTTTTAAATCGATCCTGGAAGAACAGAGTTTAGTTGCAATGGTGAAAACTTTGTTTAATGGATGTCATCCGAAAGTATTACCGAAGATTTTTGGCCATGAACTGAGTCTGGGCAGCGGAGGTGCGAAATCTGGTCCGATTAGTATCAACTTTTCGCCAAAAGTCGAAGAAGATTTGGATTTCGGGGCTGAATCCTACGAACCAAATCATGTTTTTGGTGGGAATTCTTCAAACGGGCATAGACTCGATGATAATAACGAAGGGAAATTGTTTCCTCAAATGAATCATGTGATCGGTGGAGTTTTGAATTCACAATCAATTGTATCGGCTCTCGATCAATCGAATCAAGATTCGTCGATGATGGATCGAAAGCCGAGAAAAAGGGGCCGAAAGCCCGCCAACGGACGAGAAGAACCATTGAACCACGTAGAAGCCGAACGACAACGGCGCGAGAAGTTGAACCAGCGGTTCTATGCCTTACGAGCTGTGGTCCCTAACATCTCGAAAATGGACAAAGCGTCACTTCTCGGCGACGCAATTTCATACATAACCGATCTCCAATCAAAAATCCGAATCTTGGAAGCCGAAAAAGACGTCGTGAGTATTCCCGAGGTCGATTTTATGGCCCGAAAAGACGATGCAGTTGTACGAGTTAGCTGCGCGTTGGACGATCATCCCGTTTCACGGGTTATAAAAACGTTTCGGGAACACCAGATGGTGATGCAGGACACGAACGTTTCAACGACAGAAGATGGGAAAGTTATACATACGTTTTCTTTTCAGGCTCGTGGTGGTGCCGCTGCGGAGGAGCTGAAGGAGAAGCTGGATGCCGCCTTCTCCGATTGAATTCCGGCCAGCGGTGAAACTTGTATGTAAGATGAAATATGGGTTTGGGTTAGATGTTGATGGGTATCTGCTTTTTGTTGTTTCTAAATAAGCTATAAGGCTGTTAGATTTGACTGATTGCTATATAGAGATCCATTATATCATGTTTTGTAGAAATTGCTGGATTCTAAAGAAGGGCAGTTCTGGTAGGTTTTATGTTGCATTTGAATTGGGGGATTTTGGGTGATTCTGATTTATGATGAATTGGACATGAATAGATAACCAGGATTCAAACGAGAACGCTTGTGATTTACACGAAGGTTAGAATGCTTGCAAGCAAATATTTTTGTTTTAAGTCGGGGGACTGAAATATTAAATTGGTATTTAGCGTTTTTAGGAATATCGAAGGTATGCAGTGGTAAAATGGGAAAAGGGACGATGATTATGGACTTGATCATCGTTGTTTTTTGATTTATCACAACATCATAACAAGTTCTATAATATATCAAAACAATATCACATTATTGGCACAATAAAGTCAGCATCATTATCGACACCGATATAAGAAGTTGTCTTTTTCTTTTTTGATATAGAAGGGGGGGGGGGTCCAATCTAGAATATTTTTATTAAAACAAGATTTTTTTGAAAGACTGAAAATAAAACCAAGGCCAACACTCGGGTGGAGACTAAACCGAAATAACCATCAAAAAATAACAAAGCTCAGGAGAGAGGGGAGAGAGAGAGAGAGAGAGAGAGAGAGAGAGAGAGAGGAGAAGGAAGAAAGATGGGAGAGAAGAAAGGAACCAACCACTAGGGAAGGTTCCAGACAAGCCTAGCACGGACAATGTTCGAGGAAGACTTCATGGTATGGCTAATCAGCCTAGCACGAACATCATAAGAGATGGACTTGACCACCATGTCATAAGATCTTCTTTTATTTTTAAAGATACAGACGTTTCTTTCCTGCCAAACATGGTAGACAGCTCCAACAAACACTAATCTGCGAATAATAGACCAGATAGTTTTGCCATTTGTGGCTTGCTGGAAGACTCATGATGTTAGTCCAGTCATCCGGAACATTAAGAAGGTTCAGCTGCAGTTCAAGGTCATTTCAAACCTGATTAGGGAAGGAGCACTCAAGAAAAAGATGTTGGTGGGAATTAGGCCTATTATGACAAAAACCACAACATAGATTAGGGAAGGCTTCCCAGAATCGAAGTTTATCATGCGTCTTGAAACGCTGCTTTATGGCAACCCAAAGAACGAAAACATGTCTGGGAATATTTTGTAGAAACTAGACCATATGGTGCCACTCGATGACAGGTTCATTAAGGTAAATGGAGAGCCAGACTTCATGAACCGAGAAAAGGGTAAGACTACCATCCATTTTTCTCCAAAGGAGTTTGTAAGGGATACTGAGGGAAAAGACAGGGGGAGGATCATGAAAAATAGGGTTGGAGCTGTCCCTCAGATGGGGGCGCGTCCAAGAACCATTACAGATAATATCTGGCACCCGAGCGTGAAGGGAGAGGTTCATAGTGAGGATATTACAAGGGGGTAATAAGCCGGTAAAGGGGGCCAACAGGGTACCAGTTACCAAACCAGACAGATGTGGTAGCGCCATTGCTAATTTGGGAGACAACAAAATCTCTAATCTTTTCCCGCATGCCCATAATCTTCTTCCAGCCTCAACCGACATCACTGCAGACATGGGAGTCCCAAAAATTACGATCTTTAAGTCTGTAGGAGTGGATCCATTTACCCAGAGGGAGTCCTTGTTTGTGAGGGCTCCATTAATGGAGGCCATGAGGGCAAGATTCCAAGAAGCAAGGCTTTTGATACCAAGCCCAAGAAACCTTAGCTTTTCCTCTTTTAAGCTCACCGTGACACCATAGAAACCCATTATGAGCTTTTCAATGTCCTTGGTGATAGAGAGAGGAAAAACAAAGATAGAAGCCTAATAGATATGCATCGAGGAGAGGATTGATAAAATAAGCTGGAGCCTAAGGAGAGGGACTTGTTATGCTAATCACTTAGCCTAGATTTGACCTTATCAACAAGACGCTTGCAATCATTGTGATGATACAGGTAGTGATGAGAGGGACCCCAAGGTTGCACACGGGGAGGGAACCTTTAGGGAACTGAATGATGGAGTTGATAGCATTCTTGCAGTGCTGACCTATGTTGTAATAGAAAGCCTCACTTTTTGCCTGATGTCACACCCCGCTAAAGCGGAAACACGGGGTATGGCAGGTAGAGTCTCATAGCAATAGTGTATAAACAACA